TTCAAAAAGCGGGGAGAGGGCAGACAGCAGAAGCAAGAAGAACTACAATCCTGCAGCCTGTGGAACAAAAACCACATTCACAGAAAGATAGACAAGATGAAAAGGCAGAGGGCTATGTACCAGATGAAGGAACAAGATAAAACCCCAGAAAAACAACTAAATGAAGCGGAGATAGGCCACCTTCCAGAAAAAGAATTCAGAATAATGATAGTGAAGATGATCCAGGACCTCAGAAAAAGAATGGAGGCAAAGATCAAGAAGACTCATGAAGTGTTTAACAAAGACCTAGAAGAATTAAAGAATAAACAAACAGGGCTTCCCTGGTGGCGCAGTGGTTGGGAGTCCACCTGCCGATGCAGGGGACGTGGGTTCGTGCCCCGGTCCGGGAAGATCCCACATGCCGCGGAGCGACTGGGCCCGTGAGCCACGGCCGCTGAGCCTGCGCTTCCGGAGCCTGTGCTCTGCAATGGGAGAGGCCAAAAAAAAAAAAAGCCCCCGAAAACCAAAAAAAAAAAAAAAAAAAAAAAAAAAAAGAATAAACAAACAGAGATGAACAATACAATAGCTGAAATGAAAAATACACTAGAAGGAGTCAATAGCAGAATAACTGAGGCAGAAGAATGGATAAGTGACCTGGAAGACAGAACGGTGGAATTCACTGTTGCAGAAGAGAATAAAGAAAAAAGAATGAAAAGAAATGAAGACAGCCTAAGAGACCTCTGGGACAACATTAAACGCAACAACATTAGCATTATAGGGGTCCCAGAAGGAGAAGAAAGAGAGAAAGGACCTGAGAAAATATCTGAAGAGATTATAGTCGAAAACTTCCCTAACATGGGAAAGGAAATAGCCACCCAAGTCCAGGAAGTGCAGAGAGTCCCATATGGGATAAACTCAAGGAGAAACACACCAAGACACATAGTAATCAAATTGGCAAAAATTAAAGACAAAGAAAAATTATTGAAAGCAGCAAGGGAAAAACAACAAATAACATACAGGGGACTCCCCTAAGGTTAACAGCTGATTTCTCAGCAGAAACTCTACAAGCCAGAAGGGAGTGGCATGACATATTTAAAGTGATGAAAGGGAAGAACCTGCAACCAAGCCTACTCTACCCAGCAAGAATCTCATTCAGATTCGATGGAGAAATCAAAAGCTTTACAGACGAGCAAAAGCTAAAAGAATTCACAACCACCAAACCAGCTCTACAACAAATGCTAAAGGAACTTCTCTAAGTGGGAAACACAAGAGAAGAAAAGGACCTACACAAACAAACCCAAAACAATTAAGAAAATGGTAATAGGAACATACATATCGATAATTACCTTAAACGTGAATGGATTAAGTACTCCAACCAAAAGACACAGGCTTGCCGAATGGATACAAAAACAAGACCCATATATATGCTGTCTACAAGAGACCCACTTCAGACCTAGGGACACATACAGACTGAAAGTGAGGGGATGGAAAAAGATATTCCATGCAAATGGAAATGAAAAGAAAGCTGGAGTAGCAGTACTCATATTAGATAAAATAGACTTTAAAATAAAGAATGTTACAAGAGACAAGGAAGGACACTACATAATGATCAAGGGATCAATCCAAGAAGATATAACAATTACAAATACATATGCACCCAACATAGGAGCACCTCAATATATAATGCAACTTGCTAACAGCTATAAAAGAGGAAATCCACAGTAACACAATAACAGTGGAGGACTTTAACACCTCACTTACACCAATGGACAGATCATCCAAACAGAAAATTAATAAGGAATCCCAAGCTTTAAAAGACACAATAGACCAGATAGATTTAATTGATATTTATAGGACATTCCATCCAAAAACAGCAGATTACACTTTCTTCTCAAGTGCGCATGGAACATTCTCCAGGATAGATCACATCTTGGGTCACAAATCAAGCCTCAGTAAATTTAAGACAATTGAAATCATATCAGGCATCTTTTCTGACCACAACGCTATGAGATTAGAAATCAATTACAGGGAAAAAACTGTAAAAAACAGAAACACATGGAGGCTAAACAATATGTTACTAAATAACCAAGAGATCACTGAAGAAATCAAAGAGGAAATCAAAAAAATACCTAGAGACAAATGACAATGAAAACACGATGATCCAAAATCTATGGGATGCAGCAAAAGCAGTTCTACGAGGGAATTTTATAGCAATACAAGCCTACCTCAAGAAACAAGAAATATCTCAAATAAACAATCTAAACTTACACCTAAAGGAACTAGAGAAAGAAGAACAAACAAAACCCAAAGTTAGCAGAAGGAAAGAAATCATAAAGATCAGAGCATAAATAAATGAAATAGAAACAAAAAAAAACAATAGCAAAGATCAATAAAACTAAAGGCTGGTTCTTTGAGAAGATAAACAAAATTGATAAACCATTAGCCAGACTCATCAAGAAAAAGAGGGAGAGGACTCAAATCAATAAAATTAGAAATGAAAAAGGAGAAGTTACAACAGACACCACAGAAATACAAATCAACCTAAGAGACTACTACAAGCAATGCTATGCCAATAAAATGGACAACCTGGAAGAAATGGACAAATTATCAGAAAGGTATAACCTTCCAAGACAGAACCAGGAAGAAATAGAAAATATGAACAGACCAATAAGAAGTCATGAAATAGAAACTGTGATTAAAAATCTTCCAACAAACAAAAGTCCAGGACCAGATGGCTTCACAGGTAAATTCTATCAAACATTTAGAGAAGAGCTAACACGCATCCTTCTCAAACTCTTCCAAAAAACTGAAGAGGAAGAAACACTCCCAAACTCATTTTACGAGGCCACCATCACCCTGATACCAAAATCAGACAAAGATACCACAAAAAAAGAAAATTACAGACCAATATCACTGATGAATATAGATGCAAAAATCCTCAACAAAATACTAGCAAACAGAATCCAACAACATATTAAAAGGATCATACACTGTGATCAAGTGGGCTTTATCCCAGGGATGCAAGGATTCTTCAGTATATGCAAATCAATCAATGTGATACACCATATTAACAACTTGAAGAATAAAAACCAGATGATCATCTCAATAGATGCAGAAAAAGCTTTTGACAAAGTTCAACACCCATTTATGATAAAAACTCTCCAGAAAGTGGGCATAGAAGGAACCTACCACAACATAATATACGACAAACCACAGCAAACATCATTCTCAACGGTGAAAAACTGAAAGCATTTCCTCTAAGATCAGGAACGAGACAAGGATGTCCACTCTCACCACTATTATTCAACATAGTTTTGGAAGTCCTAGCCACGGCAATCAGAGAAGAAAAAGAAATAAAAGGAATCCAAGTTGGAAAAGAAGAAGTAAAACTGTCACTGTTTGCAGATGACATGATACTATACATAGAGAATCCTAAAGATGCCACCATAAGACTACTAGAGCTAATCAATGAATTTGGTAAAGTTGCAGGATACAAAATTAGTGCACAGAAATCTCCTGCATTCCTATACACTAATGATGAAAAATCTGAAAGAGAAATTAAGGAAACACTCCCATTTACCACTGCAACAAAAAGAATAAAATACCTAGGAATAAACCTACCTAGGGAGACAGAAGACCTGTATGCAGAAAACTATAAGACACTGATGAAAGTAATTTTAAAGATGATACAAACAGATGGAGAGATATATACCATGTTCTTGGACTGGAAGAATCAATATTGTGAAAATGACTATACTACCCAAAGCAACCTATAGATTCAATGCAATCCCTATCAAATTACCAATGGCATTTTTTACAGAACTAGAACAAAAAATCTTAAAATTTGTATGGAGACACAAAAACCCCAAATAGCCAAAGTGGTCTTGAGGGAAAAAAACAGAGCTGGAGGAATCAGACTTCCTGGCTTCAGACTATACTACAAAGCTACAGTAATCAAGACAATATGGTACTGGCACAAAAACAGAAATATAGATCAATGGAACAGGATAGAAAGCCCAGAGATAAACCCATGCACCTGTGGTCAACTAATCTATGACAAAGGAGGCAAGGATATACAATGAAGAAAAGACAATCTCTTCAATAAGTGGTGCTGGGAAAACTGGACAGCTACATGTAAAAGAATGAAATTAGAACACTCCATAACACCATACATAAAAATAAACTCAAAATGGATTAGAGACCTAAATGTAAGACTGGACACTATAAAACTCTTAGAGGAAAACATAGGAAGAACACTCTTAATCACAGCAAGATCTTTTTTTTTTTGCAGTACACGGGCCTCTCACTGTTGTGGCCTCTCCCGTTGCGGAGCACAGGCTCCGGACGCGCAGGCTCAGCAGCCATGGCTCACGGGCCCAGCCGCTCCACGGCATGTGGGATCTTCCCGGACCGGGGCACGAACCCGTGTCCCCTGCATCGGCAGGCGGATTCTCAACCACTGCGCCACCAGGGAAGCCCACAAGATCTTTTTTGATCCACCTCCTAGAGTAATGGAAATAAGAACAAAAATAAACAAATGGGACCTAATGAAACTTAAAAGTTTTTGCACAGCAAAGGAAACCATAAACAAGATGAAAAGACAACCCTCAGAATTGGAGAAAATATTTGCAAACGAATCAACTGACAAAGGATTAATCTCCAAAATATATAAACAGCTCATGCAGCTCAATATTAAAAAAACAAACAACCCAATCCAAAAATGGGCAGAAGACCTAAAGAGACATTTCTCCAAAGACATACAGATGGCCAAGAAGCACATGAAAAGCTGCTCAACATCACAAATTATTAGAGAAATGCAAATCAAAACTACAATGAGGTATCACCTCACACCAGTTAGAATGGGCATCATCAGAAAATCTACAAACAACAAATGCTGGAGAGGGTGTGGAGAAAAGGGAACCCTCTTGCACTGTTGGTGGGAATGTAAATTGATACAGCCACTACGGAGAACAGTATGGAGGTTCCTTACAAAACTAAAAATCGAATTACCATATGACCCAGCCATCCCCCTACTGGGCATATACCCAGAGAAAACCATAGTCCACTCTTTCAGCTATTTTTCTATGATTATTGTGGACACAGTTTATGCTCATTGTTGATAGAGTTTTTAAAGTTTGTGGATAACTTTTGTCCATGGAGAGAATACTCCAAAAATATTGGTACTTTATTTAATACTCGATTTTTAAAACATTTATCTATAAACAGAACTTTGAAAAATAAATTTTAATATTTAAACATTGTTTGCATACTTTATTAAATTTCCTTAAATAATCTAAACTGCAATTACAAATTTATTATGATGATTCTTTTGAATACAATTTAAACAGTACACAAAAGGAACACAAATACAATGATTACAAGACTTACTGTCATTATACGTAAATCTGTTTTAACATACCAACACCATGGATTTAGTTACTCTGTTGGTTTCTACTTGTTCTGGTCTTTCTCTAGGAATAAGATATTTTCTCAAGGTTGCTAAAATACTTCTTTTGATGTTTTCTTGGTGTTACCAAAATCTTGCCAGATTCCCTCATATCCCACAAAGAATATTGTCTCAGATCCTTGAATGCACTGAGGCTACAGAATAGGGCTTCTCAGCAGATTGATTCACACTTGGGGCTCTGAAGCTTGTTGTTTCTTCCAAGGAGCTATCTTTGCTCCAGTAAAACTTCTCCTGTTACCCCCAATAGTCTTTTAATGTTTGCATCTTCTACATAAGTTTTTAATTTCTGCAACCTCTTTCTCCTCTGAAATGATGGATTCCTTTAGTTTCACTTGGCTAGAGTTATGGAACTCCTGGTTTTGTCATTATGATAATTGACTTGCTTTGTTAGTATTATTAAAAAATTATGCGTGCATTCCTAATGTCTTATGGTTAAGGTGGCGTCTAGTGGATTTTGCTTCTCTTTAGCACATTTGGCTAATTCAGCATCTCAGGACTCCCTTTCTCCTTGGTCACAGAGTGTGAGTACCAGCGTTGGTTAACTGGTTGGATCTCCTTTCTACCTGGTTATCATGTGCAGCCACATGGCGCTGATCAGTCCTTCCTGTTCTTGGAACAGTTATTTTTTCCTGGGACTACTTGGCTCCCAAATGCTGCTGGGTCCCGTCTCCTTGCCGTCTTCATCCTCCCTTGCAGCCTTGAGCACGACCCTTGGCAGTGGTGAACCAACTTGTGAGGCGCACGCGCGCGCGCGCGCGCTTAGATGGAGGGGGCCTCCAGCCACTCCCACCATCTGTCTTCCGGGCCAGGGGTCGATTCCTTCTTCCTGCATGTTTTCTGCTCAAATCCGCATCTGCTTCCCCCTACCATCCTCCTCCCACCTCTGCGCCCTCTACCCTCCCCCGGGGGGCCCCGCCTTCTTGGAGTCAGGGCTGAGCTCTGGGCTGCGCGGAGCTGAGAACCCCAGAGCGCGGACAGGCGGGGTTGGTTGGAGACCTGTCACCCACATCCCGAACTCCGCCAGGCTTCGGAGGGGCGTGGTCTCGGGCCCAGTTATTTAGTGCATCCACTCTTCTTCCCGCTCAGAAGGGGCGAAACTTCTTTGGGCAAGATGGGTCTCTACCGCGTCCGCGTGTCCAGCGGGTCCTCGCTCTGCGCGGGCTCCAACAAAAAGGTGCAGCTGTGGCTGGTCGGCCAGCACGGGGAGGTGGCGCTCGGGTGGCGCCTGCGGCCGATGAGGGGCAAGGTGAGCTGGCCGGAGCCGAACGGGGTGGGCTGCGCCCCTGGCCCCAAGGCCCACAAGTCCCCTGGAAGAGACGCGCCGCAGCCGGCCTCCAGCTCCTCCCGGCGGCTACGGGCGCACGCCCCACGCGCGGAGAGGGCTAGGAGACCGCGAGAGTAAAGCGCTTTAGGGCGGGACGGCACACGGTAACTGCTCAATAAATGTTCCCGCCGCCCACCCTCCTTGGAATTGGGATAGTCTTGCGCGCCCGTCGTTCCACAGAAGTCTGTATTTGGAAACTCAGGGGTCCTTAGAGCGGCCGTCCGTCTCCTGTCTCCTCTTCTTAAAAGCTACTATTTCAGATCTTCACGGATCTTCTCCGACCTTGCGGGCTTTATCTCTGGGATGTGGCGGGGATGGGGACGCAGGAAGAGGGGGGAGAAGAAGCCAAGTGATGAGAGCACTCGATTTCCCCACCCACCCCCTCTCCCGTCACATCTACCTGGTATTCGCTCCTGGCTCCTGTTACATTTTGCCTCCGCCGACCCCCAGATTCCCATCTCCCATCCAGCTCTCTCCAAGATCCCCAGATCTGATGTCTGGCCCATGGGCGCTTCAAAGGACCATGCTCAAGTGAGGTCCTCCCCTCTCCCCACGTCCCAGACCGCTCCCCTTGTATCCCCCAGGTGCACTCCCACCTCCGCCTCTCTTCGCCTCCGTCTAACCAAGAATCGATCGCTGTCCAGTCCATCTCTTAGACATCTCCGGCATCCATACCCTGATGTCCATCCCACTCTGACCACTAATGTCCCCTCGAACCTACGCCACCTTCATTCTCTTCACCCGCCTCACCGCTTGCGCCCCTGCCCTTCCAAGCCCTTCTGCAGTCAGAGCGATTTCTTCCCAATACATTCCCATCCTTAAAACATTCCTCCGACTGAAAACATGTGAATGGCTTCCGCTTACTCTCAGCACCAAGCCAAAGCTCTTGGCTTAACCTTCCAGACTTTACGATCTGGTCCTGCTCATCTGCCCACACCTCGCGCTCAGCGCTCCAGCTCCGCGACGCCGCTCGCCCGGCCTTGGCCTCTGATCTCCCCGCTTTCCCTCCCTGGCCTGCCTTTCCCCCCCCTTTTCCTCTTTCTCATTCTCCCCGGCTAAGCCCTTTGCACCTGTGCGTCTCCGCTTTGACGGGATGTCCTCGGGGAAGCTTGCTCCGGGCTGGGTGGGGCCTCTGTGGGCGCTCGGCCTTGGTGACGGGGTCGAGGGGACAATGTCTGTACACTGGTCACCAGTGCGCTCGCGGGTGCCCAGTGCGCAGCCCAACGCTCGGCGCAATCAGTGACTACAGGGAGGAGTGCCCCTCTCCACCTTCCGCCTCCCGCCTCACCCGGGGCTGAGGAACTCACGACCGAGAATGGGGTCGTGGAGCCGCCTGCTTGGTGCGCGCCCCCTTCCTCTCTGGCTCCTTTCGCGCAGCTTTCCCAGAGGCCCAGAGGGAAGGGCGTCCAGAGCTCAGTCCGAGGATTCCTTCCAGAGAGCCCCTCTTGTTGACCCTCTTTTGTCGCGGGCAGGAGGCGGAATTCGAGGTGGACGTGTCAGAGTACCTGGGGCCGCTGCTGTTCGTGAAACTGAGCAAATGGCACCTCCTTCAGGATGACGCGTGGTTCTGCAACTGGATCTCCGTGCAGGGCCCCGGGGCCAGTGGGGACGAGTTCAGGTTCCCATGCTGCCGCTGGCTGGAGGGCAAAGGCATCCTGAGCCTACCCGAGGGCACTGGTGAGCAGCGGGGGGGCTTGGGGGTGTGAGAGGCCTCCGGGGGCACGAGAGAAGTTGGGGGTGGGGGAGCGAAGAAGGGGGCGTGGTCTTTGGGGGTCACGGAAGAGGCGGGATGCTGGAGCTGGCACAGAGCAGCATGGAGACTGGGGGTGTGCAGTGATGCTGAAGGGCCAGGGGCCAGCCGCAAGGGCGGGCTGAGGGACCCTTGGCAGGGACAGGGGAGAGGCTCTCAGGAGGAGCCTCATGGCCCATGCCCTCCTCCCCACTTCTAGGTCACACAGTGGTCGACGACCCTCAAGGCCTGTTCAAGAAACACAGGGAGGAGGAACTGGAAGAGAGAAGGAAGCTGTACTGGTCTGCCCCACTCCCACTTCCTGACCCCCCAGGGAGCCACTGACCCTTCCCCAGTACCAATGCCTGGTTTCATTTCCACCGCAGGTGGGGTAACTGGAAGGATGAGTTAATCCTGAATATGGCCGGGGCCACAATATGTGACCTCCCCATAGATGAGAGGTTTCTGGAGGACAAAAGAATTGACTTTGAGGCTTTGCTGGTCAAGGGGTAAGAACAAGGCATGCTGGGTGACAGGGGGCTGTCCTGGTCCAGTGGAGGCCAGTGGGTTTATGGACTTCACAGGGCTGGACCAGCCCAAGGTGGATGCGTGGGGTTGTAATGTTTGATTCTGAGAATAACAAACTCTTCGCCCATCCTTCCCTGAAGGCTGGCAGACCTAGCCATCAAAGACTCTTCAAATATTCTGACTAGCTGGAACAGTCTGGATGACTTCAACAGGATTTTCTGGTGTGGCCAGAGCAAGTTGGCTGGATAGTGCCCCTACCCCAGTATTTCTCTCGGGACCCTTACCCCCAGATCCTACCCAGTCTAGGGAACCATGGTTGGGAGACCAGAGGCCTGGGCCCTTCCAATAGGCTGGGGTCAAGTGGGAATGCTTTGGTGGGGGTTGGAAAGACCAGGAGCTCAGATCCCACAGAAAACTGCACAAATGCCATCCCCAGAGTGGGTGCGGGACTCCTGGAAGGAGGATGCCTTATTTGGGTACCAGTTTCTCAATGGCTCCAACCCCATGTTGCTGAGATGCTCCAATCACCTTCCTGCCCGCCTAGAGTTTCCTCCAGGGATGGAGGAGCTGCAGGCCCAGCTGGAGAAGGAGCTCCAGGTATGGACGTAAGAGCCCTAAGGAGACCACACAGTGAAATGGGGGTGGGGTGTTTGCACTGCTGCGGGGTCTACCATGGGCCCAGCTTGCTGCCAAATGGCGAGATGGGATTCTACAGCAGAAATCTTTTTTTTTTAAATATTTATGTATGTATGTATTTATTTAGCTGTGCCGGCTCTTAGTTGTGGCATGTGGGATCTTCGTTGCAGCACGTGGGATCTTTAGTTGTGGCATGCGGGCTCCTTTAGTTGCAGCATACGGGATCTAGTTCCCTGACCAGGGATTGAACCTGGGCCCCCTGCATTGGGAGCGCAGAGTCTTAACCACTGGACCACCAGGGAAGTCCCTACAACAGAAATCTTGAGTGATCCTGGAGGGGTGCCCCTCCATGGCTTTCCCCTTCTAAGGAGAATAGCGTGCTGTGGAGGAAGAGTATGTGATGGGTGACAGAGACAGAGTCAAAATAAAAAGCTGTAACTGGGTGCTAGGGACTTAGGGAGAGTGTGGAGTAAGAGAATCAGGGTCAGGGCTGGGGCTGTTGATGGGGAGTCAGCATGGAACTAATAAGAGAAAACGCATGGGATTTAGGGTGAGACAGACTTGAGCTTGAATCCTGGCTCTGCTGTTTATAAGCTGTGTGACTTCAGGCAAGATATCTATCCTCTCTGATCATCTGTTTCCTCTTTTATAGAACTGGGGCTAATTCAAGTGCATCTAAGAATTATATGAGGCAATAAGCACATGATCCATCACCTGGTAGGAAGTAGGTGATGGAGACAAATTAGTTTCCTTCTTCCTTCGGGGAATCAGAGTGGGAAGAAGATGTCTTATGCTGATAGCAGCCCTTGCTCTCTGCCCCCATCCAGGGAGGCACACTATTTGAAGCTGACGTCTCCTTGCTGGATGGGATCAAGGCCAACGTCATCCTGTGTAGCCAGCAGTACCTGGCTGCTCCTCTGGTTATGCTGAAACTGCAGCCTGATGGGAAACTCTTACCCATGGTCATCAGGTGAGAGGACCCAGGCTGTAAGGGAGCGGCAGCCGTCAGATGGAGAACGCTAAGCAACTTTGGAGGAAGAGGAAGAGCTTAAGCACGCAAGGGAAGGGGAGTCTGTTGTGCACTGGCCCTCACCCCTCCCAAATCCCACTTCTGTCCCTCTTCCAGCTCCAACTGCCATGCAAGGGGTCTCTCCCACCACTGCTTTTCCTGCCCATGGATCCCCCGATGGCCTGGCTCCTGGCCAAATGCTGGGTCTGCAGCTCTGACTTCCAGCTTCACGAGGTGCAGTCTCATCTCCTAAGGGGACACTTGGTGGCTGAGGTCATTGCTGTGGCCACCATGAGGTGCCTTCCATCGATACATCCTATGTTCAAGGCAGCACTTTATCCCCCCCTCCTCCCCCGCTCTCTGCCCCACAGAGTGGTCCCACCTCTGGAAGCACCTTCTCTGTGGAATCTCAGCTTTTGGGAAGAAGCAACCAATAAAAGACAAATGAACAATGGCGCGAGAGCATGGCTTGCTCTGCATTTCTAACAGGGTGATATCACTTCCCAGAGGAGGTGGAAATGATTCATTGATGGGGTGGAGAGTGGTGGGAGGGTGAGGGAGTGGGGGGCAGGAAGTCTTACTCTTTTTATGTATAAAGCACAGATACACATGCAGTATATAAACAGAATACACAAACGACTGAGGATTCCACCCAGGGAGAGGGGACCATGCAAATAATATAAAAGATTTTTCCAGCCAGTTTTGAAGGGTTCCCAGATAGTAACACATAGGCCAGTTAGAGGGGCTCAGGTCAGCGACAGTAGCTGACAGAACAGAGTGTTCGTCCATTAACGTTTTTCCTGGGTGTCTCCGATGGGGCAAATAACCATTCTAGATGCCGGTGCTAAGCAAGACAGCCAAGGTCCTATCTCTGGGGATTTTCCTATCCATTAAGGGCTAACAGACGGTGAAGACTGTATTGGAATAGATCAGCTGTGGTGAGCACACTGCAGAGAATCAGAGCAGGGTGATGTGATAGTGAGTTTAGACTGGGTGGTCAGGATAGGCTCCTTTCAGGAGGTGACAGAGAGCATGAAATTACACAGAGCCAGCCATGAGCAGAGCACGGGGCACATTGCTCTAGGCAGGGGGAACAGCTTAGTGCCAAGGTCCTGACTCAGGAACAAGCTTGGAGTGTTTGAAGGACAGAAAGAAGGTGAGTATAATGGACAAAGCTGAGGGTAGGAGATGAAGTTCTGGAGGTAGCAGATTAGACCATGTTCTGGAGGGCAAAAAATTATTTTTATGTATAAAGCACATATATATTTACAGGAGGTAACAGATATATAGTATATCTGTAGCACTAAAAGTTCATGGGGCAGGTAAGAGTACAAAAAATATCAAAAAAGCCTCCTTGGAGAAGTGATAATGAAAACAAAGGTGGAGAAACATTGAGAAGACCATGAAGAGAAAAGGAGAACGATTTCTTTCAATGATCAAAGAGCATTAAGTCAGTGGTGTTGAGGGGCCGCTGTACTTCAGTCCCTGCTTTTCCCGAAGACCTGGTACCTTTCCTGCTTTTCAGCCCCTATTTCCTGCAGGGACGGGCCACAGCTGTCTTCTGACCCTGCCCTTCCCTGTTCCTCTCCATCCAGCTTCTCATTCTGCACATTCGATACACCATGGAAATTAACCTCAGGGCCAGGACTGGGCTGGTGGCTGATTTGGGAATTTTCGACCAGGTATGAGGAGAGAAAGGGGGCGGTTCTGGAGTTCACGCTCCCTCCGGCTCTGGCCGCGCGGGGCAGGTGGACTGGCCTGACCCCGCCTGTCCTTGCTCCTCAGGTGGTGAGCACGGGTGGGGGCGGCCACGTGGACCTGTTCAAGAGAGCAGGAGCCTTTCTAACCTATAGCTCCTTCTGCCCCTTGATGACCTGGCTGAGCGGGGGCTCTTGGGAGTCAAGTCTCCTTTCTATGTGCAAGATGCCCTTCGGCTCTGGGAAATCATCTCTCAGTGAGGTGGCAGGGGGCGGTGAGGCCCGGGAGGAAGCTGGGGAAACAGGAGGTCTGTGGCCCAGCTGGCGGGCTGCGCGGGCAAGGAGCAGAGGGCCTGGGGGCTCCCTGTCATCAGCCTCAGCTCCCCCGCCCTGACCCCTCCACTGGCAGCTACGTGGAGGGCATTGTGAGTCTCCACTATAAGACGGACAAGTCTGTGAAAGAGGATCTTGAGCTGCAGGCCTGGTGTTGAGAGATCACTGAGATTTGACTGCTAGGGGCCCAGGACCGAGGTAGGATGAGCCCCGAGACCCCAGCATATGATTCCTCCCTAGAACTTCCCCAGAATCCTCTCTACTTCTATGGAACCTTCCAGAAGCATTCCCAACCCCTGTGAAAACACCCAAAGCTTTCCCAGATTCCTTTTCCTCTCAGCTAGAAGCAGGTCTCCATCCTGTGCACTGAGAGCCCCTCTAGGTCCCAGATGCAGTGGGACCAGAGGTTGCTCATAAATGTTTAACAACTGGCTCCCTGGGGAAAAAAAAATGCCCCGATTTGTAGCATTTGCCCATTTCCATGGTGTAAATATTGCACTATGGCTACCAAGGTGATGTCAACCAGCTTGCTAAATACTTGAACATTTGACATCATTGACTCTTGTGAGCCACACCAGCACCCCACTGAGTGGGACCCTCCCAAAAGACCTCCCTGCTCCCGCCACCCCAACCCACGCTCGTCTCACTTCCCACAGTAGTTACTGAGAGTCCTTGGTCCCCTTCTTACCTCTCTTGTTCTCCTCCTCAGTCCCTCTGAACTCTGCCTCTATCCTTGGCCTCACAGCTTCTAACTCTCCTTACCCCTTGCAGGGTTTCCCATCGCCCTACAGTCCAAGGACCAGCTTTGCCACTTTGTGACCACGTGCATCTTCACCTGCACTGGCCAGTACAGCTCCAACCACCTGGGCCAGGTACTTATCATAGGGGGGGCAGCTGGGCATTTGTGCCTGGAGGGGGAAGGGGGCTGTGTGCAGGTGGTCTTAGGGGTTTTCATGTTTAGTAGACATTGACTGCCCCTCCTTAGCTCGACTGGTATGTTTGGGTCCCTAACGCACCCTGCACGATGCGGCTGCCCCTGCCAACCACCAAGGATGTGACACTGGAGACAGCGATGGCAACACTGCCCAACTTTCATCAGGCTTCTCTCCAGATGTCCATCACTTGGCAACTGGGCAGACGCCAGTCCATCATGGTGACAGCCAGGTGCCTGGGTCCCCGAGTAAGGGGGCAGGTACTGGGAGCTGCGGCACTCCAGCCTGAGGGTCAGTGAAGCTCTCAGCTGCCTTTCTCCCCTCTGTCCAGGTGGCTCTGGACCAACATGAGGAGGAGTATTTTTCGGGCCCTGAGCCCAAGGCTGCGCTGAAGAAGTTCAGGGAGGAGCTGGCTGCCCTGGAAAAGGGCATTGAGATCCGGAATGCTAAGCTGGACTTGCCCTATGAATACCTGTGGCCCAGCCTGGTGGAAAACAGTGTGGCCATATGAGTGCCCCAAGCCTTGGGTTGTTTCGGCCCCCTTCCACCCAAGCCACACCCATCCCCTAGTGCTCTCAGTCTTGCCCTCCCCAAACCCCATCCTCTTCCCAACTCCCATCGTCCCCAAAGTCACCTTTTCATTGTCTGCGCCCACCGGGAACAAATTTTACTCCAGATGCAGGACCTAGGGACCTTGCCCCTATTTCTTCCGCCTCACCCCCACCCCTTCTTCCTTGATCTTTCAGATCACCCATAGGGCAGGTTAACAGCCACATTTTTTTTTTTTTGCGATATGCGGGCCTCTCACTGTTGTGGCCTCTCCCGTTGCAGAGCACAGGCTCCAGATGCGCAGGCTCAGTGGCCATGGCTCACGGGCCCAGCCTCTCCGCGGCATGTGGGATCTTCCCAGACCGGGGCACGAACCCTTGTTCCCTGCATCGGCAGGCAGACTCTCAACCACTGCGCCACCAGGGAAGCCCCAACAGCCACATTTATACAAACAGTTCCAAGAATAGAATAGGGTGATAATGAATGAATGAACCTTTTATGAATCAAATATGATTCTGAACCTAAATTCAGTTAATGACAGGAAAAAGATATTTTAGACTAATGAAAGAAAAGAATTTAGTCCAAACTATGCTAAATCAAATATTGGCAAAAGAGCGTACAGCACATCTTTCTAACTGGATGGGATTCACTGCTTGTCCTGAGACCAGCCACAACACAAAGCAAACCATTAACACAGCAATTCTCAAGATTTTCATTTCATGACTCACTTAGAAAGTGATAAATGGAAGTTAACTGGTTAAACTGCAGAAGCTGCTCTCAGCTGGAGGTATTTGGCCTCAGGGTTTTGCCCAACGGATCCATATCGATAATCCATTTGCACTTCATCAGTTGGAAAGCTCCAAGTAAAAATGATTAACTGGAAAAGTACTAAAAATCTCATTATTTTAACGGGGGACAACAAAGGAGTCAATAAAATCCAACTTCTGTATCTGATTAAAAGTTTGGAAAAACAAACTTGGAAGTTTGATTTCTTAATATGATCATCTGTGGATATGGTAAAACAGAAACTAACAGTAAACACAAACCAGAACTGTTTCCTTTACAGTACGATCAAAGTTGCTTCCTGCCTCTGATTCTATTTAATTTGGCAGAAGACATATGGGTGATGCTTGGTCTGATTCTTGAAGGAAGAATAGGAAATACAGAGTTGAGAGGTTGGGGTAGAGTTTAATGCTGGGATCCAGAAGAACCCACAAGGAGGTAAGAGAGCATGGCGCAGCTTCACACCAGAAATAATGCAGTCTAGCGAGTGAGAGAAGCGGTGGGAAGGGGTGGTCTCATGAAGAACATGTTTCACGCCAGGAAATTAGGCTTGACCTTTAGGAAACGGCCACTGAAGGATTATAAGTAAGGGTATGACAGGGTCCTGGAAGTCAGAGGCACCCCCTTCCCCTTGGAGGCCATACCCCTGTCTCCTTGGAGGCCACACCCCCTTCTCCTTGGAGGTCACATTCTCTTCTCCTTGGAGGCCACACCCTCTTCTCATTGGAGACCAAACCCCTTCTTGGAGGCCACACCCTCTTCTCATTGGAGGCCACACCCCCTTCTCCTTGGAGGTCACAAGAATGCAGTGGCCAAGTGAACAAGGGCTGAATCTTGGGCAGACAGGCCCTGGGCAGGAGTACGCAGCAGTTTGTTTCCCAGTGAGAGGGCCTGGGCTCTGGCGGCTCCACGCCGCAGCTTAGCGCTAGGTGTGGGGCAGACAAACCCAGGAGAAGTCTGTCACAGCGGCAGTCCAGATCTCAGGCAGCAGTACAGTTACCTCAATTCCTGCAGCCACAACACCCTTGACCCCCCAAGCCCCAGCCCACTCCACACCACAGACTTGTACTAGATCAGGGAGGAACACATCAGAGAAAGGGGTGCGACCCTGGGCTGCTTCTGAGTGGAACCACGGATGCCTACACAGGTGGTGCAGAGCTTCTCTGTGACTACACGGGCCTCACTTGCTTCAACAACCACCTCCTGGGAGAGAGAGCCTGACTGAACCTGACTCTCAGGGCCTCTACTCCAGAAGCTGGGGAGCAGACCCCACCCTGACAGGATGGAGACAGCCATGGAGCAAAGAGGAAGCCCCGCCCAATATCCAGCACAGGGTCTGGACACCACAACACCAACCACATCCCCTATACCAAGGGGTTAGCTGCCACCATGCTCTGAGGAAAGACATGGCTGGCATCCATACCAAAACCAGCCCTCGGGACTTTCCTGGCAGTCCAGTGGTTAGGACTCCATGCTTTCACTGCCATGCCCTGGGTTCAATCCCTGGTCAGGGAACTAAGATCCTGCAAGCCACGCAGCATGGCAAAAGAACAACAACAACAAAAGCCAGCCCTCGCACCAAAAATAATGGACCCACACGGTCTACACAGGGATACTCTCACATAAAAACAACCTGCAAGACCACAGTAGATAACTGTTTCTCCTGAATGCCTAGAGACAGAAAAAGTTAAGTAAAATGAAAAAGCAGAGGAACTATTCCCAATTAAAAGAACAAAAGAAATCCCCTGAAAGAACAAATAATGAAACAGACCTCACCAGTCCACCAGACCCCGAGTTAAAAAAGGAGGCAATAAAAATGCTAAAGGAGTAGAGCAGAGACTGGCAAAACATTGTAAATCAACTATACTTCAATAAAAAAATGTTTAAAAACGCTAAGGGAATTAAGAAATTATCAACAGAAATGCAGATCACTGTAACAAGGAAATAGAAACTATAAAGATGAACCAAAGTTAGACAATTCAATTGCTTAGACCAATCTAGAAGCAAGGAATAGCAGACTAAATGACACAGAAGAACGAATAAGTGATCTAGAAGATAGAATAATGGAAATTACCCAAACAGAATGACAGGAAGACAAATAAAAAAAAAAAGAAAAGAAAAAGAAAACAATATATGAGATCTATGGGGTAATATAAAGCGTGCCAACCTACGCATAATAGGGGTTCCAGAAGGACATGAGAGAGAGAGAAGGGGATGGAAAATGTATTTGAATAACATCCAGTCATGATAAAAACTCTCACCAAAGTGTGGGCATAGAGGGAACATATCTCAATGTAATAAAAGCCACTTATGACAAACCCACAGCTGACACAATATTCAACGGTGAAAAGCTGAAAGTCTTCCCTCTAAATTCAGAAACAAGACAAGGATGCCCACTCTTACCACTTCTATTCCTTTTTTTTTTTTTTTGGCCACACTGCACAGTTTGTGGGATCTTAGTTCACCGACCAGGGACTGAACCTGGGCCACAGCAGTGAAAGCACCGAGTCCTAGCCACTGGACTGCCAGGGAACTCCCTCACCACTTCTATTCAACATAGTATTGGAAGTCCTAGCCACAGCAATCAGACAAGAAAAAGAAATAAAAGGTACACAAATTGGAAGGGAAGAGGTAAAACAGTCACTATTTGCAGATGACATGATACTCTATACAGAGGACCCTGAAATCTCCACACAAAAACTATTAGAATTAATAAATGAATTTAGCAAGGTATCAGGATAAAAGATTAATATACATAAATCTGTTGCATTTCCTTACACTAATAATGAAATATCATAAAGAGCAAGCAAAAAACAATCTCATTTAAAATCATGTCAGAAAAATAAAATACCTAGGAATCAACTTAACCAAGGAGGTGAAATACCTATATGCTGAAAACTATAAAACATTGATAAAGGAAACTGAATATGATTCAAAGAAATGGAAAGATATCCCATTGAATATTCTCTTGAATTGAAAGAATTAATATTGTTAAAATGGCCATACTACCCAAATCAATCTACAGATTTAATGTAATCCCTATCAAAATATAAATGACATTTTCACAGAACTACAACAAATAATCCTAAAATTTACATGGAACCACAAAAGGCCCAGAATTGCCAAAGCAATCCTGAGGAAAAAGAACAAAGCTGGAGACATAACCCTTCCAGACCTCAGACTATACTACAAAGCTTTAGTAATCAAAACAGCGTGGTTTTGGCACAAAAACAGACATATAGGTCAATGGAACAGAGTAGAGAGCGCAGAAATAAACCCACACACCTATGGTTAATTAATCTATGACAAAGTAAGCAAGCCTATACAATGGAGAAAAGATAGTCTCTTCAACAAGTGGTGTTGGGAAAGCTGGATAGTTTTAGGTAAATCAATGAAATTAGAACACTTCCTCACCCCATATATAAAAATAAACTAAAAATTGTTTAAAGACCTAAATATAAGACATGACACTTTAAAACTCCCAAAAGAGAGCATAGGTAAAACATTCTTAGACACAAATCACAGCAATATTTCCTTAGATCAGTTTCCCAAGGCAAAAGAAATAAAACGAAAAATAAACACATGGGACCTAATCAAACTTCAAAGCTTTTGCACAGCAAAGAAAACTATCAACAAAATGAAAAGACAACATACGGAATGGGAGAAAACATATGCAAACAATGTGGCCAACAAGGGGTTAATATCCAAAATATAAAAACAGCTCATACAACTCAATATCTGAAAAGCAAACAAACCAATTTAAAAATGGACCAAAGGCACTTCCCTGGAGGTCCAGTGGTTAAGACTTCGCCTTCCAGTGCAGGGGGTGTGGGTTTGATCCCTAGTCAGGGAGCTAGGATCTCACATGCTTCGCAGCCAAAAAACCAAAACATAAAATAGAAGCAATATTGTAACAAATTCAATAAAGACTTTAGAAAACAATGGACTGAAGACCTAAATAAATATTTCTCCAAAGAAAACACACAAATGACCAACAGGCACATGAAAAGATGCTCAACATTGCCAATTATTCAAGAAATGAAAATCAAAATCACAATGAGGTATTACATCACACCAGTCAGAATGGATGTCATCAAAAAGTCTACAAATAATAGGGCTTCTCTGGCGGCGCAGTGGTTGAGAGTCCGCCTGCCGATGCAGGGGACACGGGTTCGTGCCCCGGTCTGGGAAGATCCCACGTGC